CCTTGGTAAAAACTTTATGAAAATAAAAATGAAAAATTGAAAATAAAAATTATGAGTTGTCACCTTTGGAAAGTTGTTGCTGAGTGATTTGTTCCATAACCTGTTTTTTTATAGTGGGTGTGTACCCTCTGGCAAGCACTGGCGTACCATCAGGGTTATGCATACCACTGGTTCAAAAGCCCTGCTCTACCTGTTCTGAGTGAAGAACTACATCTGTTTTAAAAAATTGCAAGGGCTAGGAGCAAGATCATGGCACTTACATATAACCACATGCCTCTGGCCATATGTGTTTTTTATTTGAGATAAAAAATTGCAGATGCTTTAATTTGAGAACAAAAGATGTTTTCCATAGGTAAGTTATGAATACAGTATGCTCTAGCTGCAGTCAGTGAAGAAGTACAGCCATTTCTGAATAATTTCCAGTGGCCCGCTCTAGAATAATGTACCACTTACAAATCACAGCATTTCAATAATTCAATATTTGAGGTATCAAGTTTCAGGTGATTCCATTAAAACAAAAAAGGTTTGCTGCAAGTAAATATGGCATACAATATGCTTTATAAGTTGGCAGTGAAGAGGTACAGACATTTTAGAACTGTACCATTCCAAAATCAGAAAGGACCAACTGGTACTTGCTGTTTTGTATAAATTGTTCAAGACTTCTGAAAATGGGCATTTTGTACAATTTATTGTAAGGTATTCACTCCTTCTGTGATATTATATGGCGGAATTTTGAAGCAAAGTTATATACATAACTGCCACAATGTTTTTGTGTGAAATAATGCATGTCCTATGGTTGTTTTGAAATTGAGCAAGAAGAAAATAAGAGCAGCAATTCCTATCCTGGTGACTAATTCCTCCAAAACTCAGAAAAATAACATGTGCAGAGCATGTGAGGACAAACAAGTGATGCAGTGCAGTAATCACTGCTTTAGGACAAGGAGAGTTCCCCAATGAAAGGTAGTAAAAAACACTGAAAGAGAATACCTGCAGAATATGGCACCAAATGTTGGTAGCCAAGCAGAATTAGTTTGCAAGATTTTTGAGCAGTATTGTCTGCATTGTATATCTTGAAGTATAGTGCATCAATATTTTTAGCAATACAGTATAGACCATATCACTTGGCAAGTTGATGTATTTCATTCAAAAAATGAGATACAAATTTCCATGTGTTTTCACTTGAAAGATATTAATGCTCTATCTGCATAAAGTATGCTATAGCATAAATATTGATGCTCTAGCATTAAAAAGGTGCTCTTTCTGTTGTCAGTGAAGAACTACAGCCATATCAAAATCATTGTGAGTGCTATGGTAAAGATTGTGGCACTTACAAATTACAACAAATCTGGTTCAATATTTGAAATAGAAAATTTCTGATGCTACAAAGTGAGAACAAAAGATGTTTTCTACAAGTAAGTATTGAATACAAAATGCTCTAGCTGTTGTCAATGAAGAATTAAAGCCATTTCTGAATAATTTCCAGTGGTCCATTCTAGAATTATGTACCACTTACAAATCACAGCATTTGTATAATTCAATGCGTGAAATATAAACTTTCAGGTTGTTTCATTCAAACAAAAAGGGTTTCCACAAGTAAATATGGAATACAATATGCATTATATGTTTGCATCAAAGAGGTACAGCCATTTTAGAACTGGAAAACACTGGCCCATACCAAAATCAGAAAGGACCAATTGGTACTTGCTTTTTTGTACAAATTGTTTTGAGCATCTGAAAATGGGCATTTTGGACAATTTATTGCAAGGTATTCACTCCTTCTGTAATATTATATAGTGGAATTTTGAAGCAGAGTTATATACATATCTTCTACAATGTTTTTGTGTGAAATAATGAAAGTCCTATGATTGTTTGGAAATTGAGCAAGAAGAAAAAATAAAAATTCCTGTCCAGGTGAATAAATCCTCCAAAACTCAGAAAAACAACATGTGCAGAGCATGTGTGCACAAACAAGTGAGGGGTTGCAGTAATCACTGCTTAAGGATAAGGGAAGCCCCCCAATAAAAGGCAGTAAAAACACTGAAAGAGAATCCCTGGAGGATCTGGCACCAGATGTTGGTAGCCAAGCAGAATTAGTTTGTAATATTTTTGAGCAGTATTGTCTGCCCTTCACCTCTTGAAGTACTTCTTCAAGTTATATAGCAATACAGTATAGACCATATCACTCAGCAAGTTGATGTATTTCATTCAAAAATAATCATACTATTTCCATGTGTATTTGCTTGAAAAATATCAATGGTTTCTACAAGTAAATATGAAATACTGTATGATGTATCAATGGTCAGTAATAACATACAGCCATTTCAAAGTCATTCTGAGTTCTATGGTCAAGATTGTGGCAGATACAAATCACAACATATCTGATTCAATATTTGAGATATAAACTTCAGATGGTTCCATTTGAAAATAATATAACATAACATGTTTTCTACAAGTAAATATTCAGCAAAATATGCTCTTTCTGTCGCCAGGAAAGAAGTATGGCCATTCCAAAATAACTTCAAGTGCTACTGGGGTCAAGATCATGGCCCTTACAAATACTGTAACAACATATCTCTGACAATATATGTTTTTTATTTGAGAGAAAAATTCCAGATGTTTTAATTTGAGTACAAAAAATGTTTTCTATGAGTAAGAATGAATACAATCTGCTCTAGCTCTTGTCAGTGAAGAAGTACAGCAATTTCTGAATAATTTCCAGTGGTCCATTCTAGAATAAACCAGTTACACATCACAGCATTTCTGTAATTCAATATTTGAGACATAATTTTCCAGATGATTCCATCCAAAAAAAAAGGTTTTCTGTGAGTAAATATGGAATACAATATGTTGTATCTATTCTCATTGAAGAAGTAAAGTCATTTTTAAATAATTTTGAGTTCTATGGTCAAGATCATGGCGCTTACAAATCACAACATATCTGATCATTCCATGTTGGAGTTAGAAAATGTCAGATTTAAAAAGTTTGTTTCCTACAAGTAAGTATTGGATACAATATGCTTTATTTGTTGTCAATATGAAGAAGTACAGCCATTTCAAAATAATTTTGAGTGCTTTGATCAACATGATGGTGCTGCTTATAAAGCACAACATATTGTTTCCAATTTTTGAAATAGAAAATTTCAGATGGTTTCATTTACAGATAAAGCATGTTTTCTACAAGTAGGCATTGAATAGAATATGCTCTATCAGTTGTCAATGTATAACTAAAGCAATTTTCAAATAAATTTGAGTGCCAAGGTCAAGATGGAGGAGGTTAAAAATCAGAACATTTCTGATTTAATGTTTGAGGTAGAAAAATTCAAGTGGTTCCAATTGAAAACAAAAGATGTTTTCTACATGTAAGTATTATTTAAAATCTGCTCTATCTGTGGTCAGTGAAGTACAGCCATTTCGAAATAATATCCAGCAGTCCATTCTAGATTTTACTACTGTACTCACAAATCACAGCATGTTTATAATTCAATATTTGAGGTATAAAATTCCAGGTGGTTCCAGTTAAACAAAAATTGCTGTCTACAAGTAAATATTGAATACAATATGCTGTATATGTTGGCCGTGAAGAGGTATACAGCCATTTGAGGACTCAAAAAGACTGGTCCATTCCAAAATTGGAAAGGACCAATTGGTACTTGCTTTTTTGCAAATATCATTTTGGACTTCTCAAAACGGCCATTTTTACAATATATTATTACAAGATGGGAATCACTTCCTCTGTACAATTTGATGCATCCATAGAAAGGGCATTAGACTAATGCACTTTCTATGGATGCACTTTCAGTATGAGTTGATTTGATCAATATCTGTATGCATCAAGTAAGACCTTCATGTATTGTTTACATTTGGTGCAAGATTTACAAGGATTGCGTTTAATGTCCAAGCTGTGGGAAGCAACCACATGTTGAATGGCCCACTACAAATGCAAATTTAAATAATAAAGCCAATATTATGTAATAAATCTGAATTTATTCCAAAGTTAGTAAAACAGATAGGGTATAGCTGAATAGTCCTGTTCCTCCATGGAAGAACTTCTCAGACTTTGCTGGGAGGGGGGGAGGGTTGACTTTTTCCCAGCAGCTTTTTCTCAAGCTGTAAACTAATACCATGGATGTAAAACATTAAAACAATATCCCTGTACAAGGAAAAAGCTCACGTGCCCAAAACTTAGTTATACAATGTAATTTGGGACACAAATAATATGCACATGGCACATGTACTCAAAGTCAAATCAGTTTGACAAAATTACCATCCAAAGGCAGCAATATATACAAATGAAAAAGAGGGCATTTTCAGTGGTTATAATTATTTTATGGAGGAACACAAATATCATGCTGCAAGGATATTTCCAACCCAATTCAGAGTCAAACAATCAAAGTAAAATGAAAAAATATCTAGAATTATATACCTAGAAATAAAATAAATATTTCTTTGACCTGTATATGCCTCAAGGAGACAAGCAGCAGGAAGGGATTCCTTACTTTTCTGTGAAGCAGGACATTAAACTTTGTACCACTCACAATTTCTTTATCCTTTATACACTTTTTATTATCAACGCATTGCATGCTTTTGAGTTCAATTTTGACATTTACAGTAATTCATGCATCTTTCTCTGGGGTACTGGTTTCTCAGCCTATTGCATCCTCACCTGTTTTTTACTGGCATGACTTCGACATGTAAAACCTATCTCACTTTTGAGTTTTGAACATGTCAATTCTTGTGGAAATTTGGACACATCTGCTCTAGTGTTAACTATGTGTCTTCTGGAAGTATGACAGCATGGGATGCACCCACTTCCCAAAACTTATCCACATGTTACAAAAGGACCTGAAGTTCATAGAAAGTTGGGCATGTTATTAAATTGCCACTATCAGACACAATGACAATATATGCACTTGGCTTTCCTGGGGATGCAGAGGATTTTCTTGAGCAATGAACACCTTAAATATACATTTCAAAAATTATTTAGAAGAAGAATTGCATACCTGGAGACCCTGTTCCATGGGATGCTTGGCTAGATGTTTGGTTTGTACTTGCTGTTTCTCCTGAAAAATGGATATGCTAATAATTCATTGACAAAGAACTCAATTGAAGCATAAGGGTATACAAGACCATTAACAACATTCTGGAGGATATTCAGTTTGGATTGAGTGAAAACAGGGAGAAGAGATATTTTCTCAGTGTTTAACTATACTTTTTGATGAGGTGCGTTTCTAGCAATGTATCCTGTGTGCAAGAGAAGAGACCATTTCTGTCAACTGGAAATGGGGAAAATCCTCAGGAAAAGAGAAGTGTCAATTCTGGACACTTTTTTCTAGTGAAGAAGACCATTGAGCCCATTTCATAAATGATGAATCATTGCTTACCTAGAGACCCTGTTCCATGATATGTTTGGCTTGTCCCTTGGTTTGTACTAGCTGTTGCTCCTGCAATATGTTAAAGATTAATAATGACTGACTCTATTTTAATTGAAATCTTGGCAATAGCATAAACTACAATCTGGAAAAGTATAGCTTTGCGTGAGGGAAAGAAGAAATATTTTTTCTTGAAGTTTCAAGGAATATCAAAATTGGAACACATTTCCTGCTATGAAAACTTTGCAGATGAGGGGAACCGTTTTTGTCAACTGAAGAGGGAACAGATCTTCTGGAAGAGGGAGGTATGGATGTTGAAAAGTTATTTGAGCAATGAAAGCAATGAACCTGCTCCATATGCGCTAGAGTTCAAGCAACATTTCTCACCTGGAGACACTGTTCCAGGAGATGCTTTGCCTGTATCTTGGTTAGGAGTTGCTGTTGATCCTGCAATTTGCATATATTCATAATCAAGTGATGACAAAATACAAAATATTGATTGAAAGTTGCTCTGTAACATTGACTGAACTCCTGAGAAAATTTGGTTTCATTTAGGATGAAGAGCAAAATGAGTTCCTTTCTTTCAGGTGGCATTGATTTTTAGATATTGAAGTCTACTGAAAAATATGCTTGTGCATAAATAAAACCATTTCTGTCAATTGATATTGGAACAAAATATCAGGAAAAAAACTGCAGATAGAGAGGAATTTTTCAAGCACTGAAAATATTGAATACTGATTTTATAAGTGATGGGGTGCATTCCTTACCTGGAGACCCAGTTCCATGAGATGTTTGGCTTGTATATAGGTTAGGAGTTGCAGTTGATCTTGCAATTTGCATATATTAACAATCAAGTGATTACAATATACAGAATATTAATTGAAAGTTTCTCAATGACATGGACTAAACTAAAGAGAAAATTTGGTTTCATTTAGGGAGTAGAGCACAATGACTTCTTTTATTTCAGGTTGCAATGATTTTTAGAGATATGCAAAGGTTCTGAGCAATGAGCTTTGTGCTTAGATAAATCCCTTCTGTGCATTGACATTGGAAAAAAATATCAAGAAAATAAACTTGTAGATGAATGGCTTTTTCTTGATTAATGAAGACATTGAATGCCCATTTTATAAGTAAAGGGGTGCATTCCTCACCTGGAGACCCAGTTCCATGAGATGTTTGGCTTGTATCTTGGTTTGTACTGGCTGTTTCTCCTGAAAAATGGATATCTTGATAATTCAGTAATTAGAGAAACAATTATAATATATAAATCTGTGAGAACATTATTCACATTCCAGGGGAAATTCACTTTGTGATTGAATGAAAAGAAAAAGAAGAGTTCTTCTCTTATAGTTTGACCAGATTTGTTTGTGATGCAAGTTTACTAAAGGTTGTGTGCATGAGAAAAAACCATTTCTGTCAACTTGAAATGGGAAAAATTCTCTGGAAAAGAGAATTGGTAATGCTGAAGATTTTTTTTTAGCCCAGAAGACCATTAAAACATTTTGTTGGTGATGAACATAAGCATTGCTCACCTGGAGACCCTGCTCCATGATATGTTTGGCTTGTCCCTTGGTTTGTACTAGCTGTTGCTCCTGCAATATGTTGAAATTCAGTAATGACTGACTGTATTTTAATTGAACTCTTGGCAATAGCATAAACTACATTCTGGAAAGAGTATAGCTTTGCATGAGGGAAAGAAGAAAGATTTTTTCATCATGTTTGTGGAAATTTCACAATTGAGACATATTTCCTGCCATGAAGACTTTGCAGAAGAGGGGAACCATTTTTGTCAACTGAAGAAGGAACAGATCTTCAGGAAGAGGGAGGTATGAATGTTGAAAAGTAACTTGAGCAATGAAAGCAATGAACCTCCTCCATATGTGCAGGAGTGCATGCAACATTTCTCACCTAGAGACCCTGTTCCAGGCAATGCTTGGCTTGTATCTTGGTTAGGAGTTGCTGTTGATCCTGCAATTTGCATATATTAACAATCAAGTGATGAAAACATACAAAACATTGATTGAAAGTTTCTCTAATTCATGGACTAAAATCTGGAGAAAATTTGGTTTCATTTAGGGAGAAGAGCACAATGAGTCCCTTTTTTCAGGTGGCAATGATTTCTTGAGATATGCAAGGGAAATGAAAAATAAGCTCTGTGCATAGATAAATAACTTCTGNTTGGTTTCATTTAGGGAGAAGAGCACAATGAGTCCCTTTTTTCAGGTGGCAATGATTTCTTGAGATATGCAAGGGAAATGAAAAATAAGCTCTGTGCATAGATAAATAACTTCTGTGGATTGCTATTGGAACAAAATATCAAGAAAAATACTCATAGATGAAGAGGATTTCCTTGAGCAATGAAAACATTGAATAAACTTTTCATGAGTAATGGGTTGAATTCCTTACCTGGAGAACCAGTTCCATGAGCTGTTTGGCTTGTATCTTGGTTTGTACTTGCAGTTTCTCCTGAAAGATGGATATCTTAATAATTCAATGATTATAGGGAAACAATTTTTTTATAGAAATCTGTGCTGGGAACATTATTGATAATCTGGGGTAAATTCACTCTTGATTGAATGAAAAGATAAAGAAGTGGTGTTCTCTTGCAGTTCAACCAGATTTGTTTGTGATGCAAATTTACTAAGGGTTGTGTGCATGAGGAAAAACCACTTCTGTCAACATCAAATGGAAAAAATCTTCAGGAAAAGAGGATTGGTAATGCTGAAGATTTTTCTTGCCCAGAAGACCATTTAAACATTTTGTTAGTGATGAACATAAGCATTGCTCACCTGGAGACCCTGTCCCATGAGATGTTTGGCTTGTACCTTGGTTAGGAGTTGCTGTTGATCCTGCAATTTGCATATAATCACAATCAGGTGATGACAACATACAAAATATTGACTAAAAAGGGTCTCTGTAACATTGACCAAAATCTGGAGAAAATTTTGTTTCATTTAAGGAGAAGAGAAAAATGAGTTCTCTTCTTCAAGGTGGCAATGATTTTAGAGATATTCAAGTCTACTGAGAAATATGCTTTTGCATAGATAAAACCATTTTTGTCAAATGATATTGTAAAAAAATATCAGGTAAAAAATACAGGCGGATAGAGAGGATTTTCTTGAACAATGAAAACATTGAATACACATTTCATAAGTAATGGGGTGCATTCCTTACCTGGAGACCCAGTTCCATGAGATGTTTGGCTTGTATCTTGGTTAGGAGTTGCTGTTGATCCTGCAATTTGCATATATTAACAATCAAGTGATGACAACATACAAAATATAAACTGAATGTTTCTCTATGACATGGACTTAAATCAGGAGAAAATTTTGTTTCATTTAAGGAGAATACAAAAATGAGTTATTTTCTTCCAGGTGGCAATGATTTTTAGAGATATTCAAGTCTACTGAAAAATATGCTTGTGCATAGATAAAACCATTTTTGTCAAATGATATTGTAAAAAAATATCAGGTAAAAAAAACAGGCAGATAGAGAGGATTTTCTTGAGCAAAGAAAACATTGCATACACATTTCATAAGTAACGGGGTGCATTCCTTACCTAGAGACCCAGTTCCATGAGATGTTTGGCTTGTATCTTGGTTAGGAGTTGCTGTTGATCCTGCAATTTGCATATATTAACAATCAAGTGATGACTTGTATGTTTTGTAACTAACTTTCAAAGAGATTAAGTACCTGATTTTAGACCTCTTTTAAACCAAAGTAAATCCCTCTTCTCGTGTTACTCAGGGAAAAAAGTCCACCGTTACTAAAGAACTCTATAGCAAGGGAAATGAAAAATAAGCTCTGTGCATAGATAAATAACTTCTGTGGATTGCTATTGGAACAAAATATCAAGAAAAATACTCATAGATGAAGAGGATTTCCTTGAGCAATGAAAACATTGAATAAACTTTTCATGAGTAATGGGGTCAATTCCTTACCTTGAGAACCACTTCCATGAGATGTTTGGCTTGTATCTTGGTTTGTACTTGCAGTTTCTCCGGAAAGATAGATATCTTAATAATTCAATGATTATAGGGAAACAATTTTATTATAGAAATCTGTGCTGGGAACATTATTTATATTCTGGGGGAAATTCACTCTTGATTGAATGAAAAGATAAAGAAGTGGTGTTCTCTTGCAGTTCAACCAGATTTGTTTGTGATGCATATTTACTAAGAGTTGTGTGCATGAGGAAAAACCACTTCTGTCAACTTCAAATGGAAAAAATCTCCAGGAAAAGAGGATTGGTAATGCTGAAGATTTTTTTTGCCCAGAAGACCATTTGAACATTTTGTTAGTGATGAACATAAGCATTGCTCACCTGGAGACCCTGTTCCATGATATGTTTGGCTTGTATCTTGGTTAGGAGTTGCTGTTGATCCTGCAATTTGCATATAATCACAATCAGGCGATGACAACATACAAAAATATTGAATAAAAAGTGTCTCTGTAACATTGACCAAAATCTGGAGAAAATTTTGTTTCATTTAAGGAGAAGAAAAAAATGAGTTATTTTCTTCCAGGTGGCAATGATTTTTAGATATATTCAAGTCTACTGAAAAATATGCTTGTGCATAGATAAAACCATTTTTGTCAAATGATATTTAAAAAAAATATCAGGTAAACAAAACAGGCAGATAGAGAGGATTTTCTTGAGCGAAGAAAACATTGCATACACATTTCATAAGTAATGGAATGCATTCCTTACCTAGAGACCCAGTTCCATGATATGTTTGGCTTGTATCTTTGTTAGGAGGTGCTGTTGATCCTGCAATTTGCATATATGAACAATCAAGTGATGACAACTTACAAAATATTGATTGAAAGTTCCTCTATGACATGGACAAAAATCTTCAGAAAATTTGGTTTCATTTAGGGAGAAGAGCACAATGAGTTCTTTTATTTATGGTGGCAATGATTTTCAGAGATATGCAAGGGTACTGAAAAATAAGCTTTGTGCATAGATGAAAACATTTCTGTCAAATGATATTGTAAAAAAATATCAAGAACAAAACTTCTAGATGAAGAGGATTTTCTTGGGCGATGAAAACATTGAATACACATTTCATAAGTAATGGGGTGCATTCCTTACCTGGAGACCCAGTTCCATGAGAGGTTTGGCTTGTATCTTGGTTAGGAGTTGCTGTTGATCCTGCAATTTTCATATATTAACAATCAAGTGATGACAACATACAAAATATAAATTGAATGTTTCTCTATGACATGGACTTAAATCAGGAGAAAATTTGGTTTCATTTAGGGAGAAGAGCAAAATAAATTCTTTTCTTCCAGGTGGCAATGATTTTTAGAGATATGCCACGGTAATGAAAAGTACGCTCTGTGCATAGATGAAAAACTTCTGTGGAATGCTATAGGAACAAAATATAAAGAAAAAACTCATAGATGAAGAGGATTTTCTTGAACGATGAAAACATTGAATAAACATTTCATAAGTAATGGGGTGAATTCCTTACCTGGAGACCCAGTTCCATGAGATGCTTGGCTTGTATCTTGGTTAGGAGTTGCTGTTGATGCTGCAATTTGCATATATTAACAATCAAGTGATGACAACATACAAAATATTGATTAAAAAGTTTCTCTGTAACATTGACCAAAATCTGGAGAAAATTTGGTTTCATTTAAGGAGAAGAGAAAAATGAGTTCTTTTCTTCCAGGTGGCAATG